ATTAGTCTAATCCCTGCTGCGGCCAGCAGTCGTCTTCAGTAAAATCATGATACTAGGTTCCGTCTAGGTAGATCAACATTTCAGAGGACTTTTTGCCAGGCATTTTTGTTGTTAATAAATGGTATAGTCTTTTCTATATGCTAATTTCTCTAGAGCAGGCTTTGAAGTGTTCTATTTACTTAGGATCTGCTGCCATCAGAACACTGAACTAGAAATCAGATGCACTTTATCAAATTTTTTGTTACTCTCTGCTAACAGCTCCAAGAGTTCAGACAAAAAGTTTGTGCCTTCATCTCTCCTCCCTCCATCCCTCTGAATCTGGGCAGTAATCGACCTTGCCTGATGAAAGGCAAGAGCATGCCTTTCATCATCAGCCCTTAGAGTTCAAGGTCCAGAAGAAACAAGATCCCCAACTGCTAAATCTTTTGTCTGTTTTGTGACTCCACTTGCTAGGCACAACCTGGTCAGTACCCTCCATGTCACACACACAGCCCCCAAGGCATGGCACTGGCCTCCGCGCGTGCTGAACTGACAAGGCAGCAGAGAGACGCAGGACGGGAGGCGGCAGGTGACCGAATTTCATGCACAAAGCTGATTCATCTCTCCAAGTACCACAGGTTGGCTTGCAGATCAATCAAACCACACGGAGTTGCTTGGAAACTGCCCAGGGTTATTTGTGGCTGTCTGCAATACAACCAGCTGATCTAGGCTACAGAGCCTCGTCCAGAGCTGTACTCAGAGTAGTCAGTGTTTGAAGGCTGAGAACCCGCCCCATGTATTACATGGCTTACACAGCTTGTTCTGCCAGCCTATTCTGCACTGCAAAACTGCCTAAATGAAGAAAATTGAGAACCCTTATTTAGGAGACAGGACCGTTCAGGTCTAAAAATATTTCTGTTAGGAAAAGGGGATGTTAGTAGCCTGACACAGTAAGACATGCAGATCTCTCTTCTTCCTTCCCAAGTTCCCCTTTCCTTGCTATAATAATTTCCCCTCTTGTCACAATATTCATATAAAGTACAAAGTCCGATTCAAAGTTCTCCTCACCATCATCATGTGCACTTGCACAGCTGTCTCCATCGGCTCAGAGCCCTTGTGACAATAAATTCTGCAGGGTCTGGAACAGAGTTAGATGAGCTCCAGAACAGCTACAGAGGAAATGCTAGTGACTGCAAAGTTGGTGGGTCAGGACCTGCGGGCCAGATTTACAACTGTACTGAGACATCTGAAGATGCAGCTAGGCGTGCCATGGGATTTACACAAATGCCTAACCAGGCGCTGGCTAACTGCCACTTGTCTTTAAAAGTCAGTTAAATGTCTCATCTGCTCATGCGTTTTTGTTAATCCCACTATGTGCCTGTCTGCCTTTTTGGATAGTTCAATTTCTTTGTCAGTCTGGCCCCAGGTTATTATCTTACAAAACTGTATTTTGATATATACCACAAAGTAATTAACATTAAGCATACAGAGCTTCTGACAGTAGAGCCATTTCTGCGCTTCTTGTTTTCAATGGTGATTACTAATAGCTTTAGCATTCCTATAGCTGTGCCATCTGACAACTGGAAAAAAAATTCAAAATATTAATTAAC